TGTCTGTATTAATGTCCTAAACGTAAAGAAAATTATTTGAATACTTTATATTGTTTGACACATATTCCAATATCAATTTAGTTATTAAAATATTATATAAATATAATTGATTCCATTAATTTCATATGTTGGACGTATAATTGTATTTTTAATTTTTAATTTCAAATTGAAAAATAATTATAGAGATGGTTATAACCCACTAATTTAGAAAAGTCATAAATACTATATAGTCGTGGTAAGTTATTGTCAAATTATTAAGAATTCCCGTCAAAATACGGCATAAAAGCAATTATGTTATTCTTTTTATGCAACTGTAGCTGTGGCTGCAATTAATAGTGGAAATGGACTGATATATGATCATGCCAACGGTTTAGTCCTTTGGATTGTGAGGCTAAAACCAACGTTGAGCCCCTCACCTTATAAAATATGTAGATTTTAGTTCTTAACCTTATAATATGATATTTTTAGTCTTTTACCTTATAAAGTTAGTAGGTTTTAATTTCTTACCTTACAAAGTTGGTAGATTTTAGTCCATTATCTTATATTATGACACTTTTAACCCCCTATTTATATGAATTGAAGAAAATAACCCTTATTTAACATCAAGTTTTAATGTCTCTATTAGTTTTGTTAGTTGACTGTTAGTTCTGTTAGTTGACTGTCAATTTTATTAGTTGATTGTTAGTTCTGTTAGTATTCGTTAGCATTCCGTTAATAAAATTAACAAATAAAATTGAATTTAAATTTCATATTTTTTATAATGGAATGCTAACAGATATTAACAGTCAACTAACAGAATTAACAGAACGTTATAATCTAATATTATGTGAGGGTTATTTTCTTTAATTCATATCAGTGATGAGCTAAAAATATCATAATATAAGGTAAAAGGTTAAAATCTGCTAACTTTGTAAGGTGAGGGGTTAAAACTTATCAATTTTGTAAAATAAAAAATTAAAATTATCATATTATAAAATGAGAGGCTAAAACCTATTAATTTTGTAAAATAAGGGACTAAATGTTGATTTTTCTCCGATTGTGATTCCTCCTTAATTTCCCAATGTTAGAAAAAAGGAACCTCAATTATGTTGAGGGACATTGACTTCGTATCAGCTGTCGCTATTAAGTTTTTAGGTGAGACTTATAGACTTAACATTAATTCTTAATATACAAATCTTCCAGGAAATTTTCTTATTAAAATATTTTCCTGCTACTAAGTTAATACTTGAACAAGGGTTTTTTTTTTTGTTAATCTGAAAAAAAAATAATAAAACTAATGTGAAAGATACTCAAAAAAACCTCTAAAGCCTTAGTCATGAGTCGTGACATGCGTAAAAATGAAGAAACAAATATTCTTAGGGCTTGTTTGGTTGAGCTAATAACTCTTCCTTAATAATACTATAAATTTTATATATATATATATATATATTGTTTGAGACTACAATAAAAGAACTATCATAAATTATTCTAATTAGACTATTCATATTATGACATTTTATTGTAATGAAAAAGTGAACAAATTATATATCTTATAATTATTAATTAAAAATAAGTTTTTTAATATTAATTATTATAAAATATACAATCTATACAAAACAACTGCAATACTACAAACTTTTATTTTAATACCCAAGGGATCATTTTTCGTATTATAGACAGCGAACCTTGGACTTACAAC